AAGCAAGGGGCCAGTTAGCTAGAAAAATGCTGCATCTAATTATTATCTGTGTAGGTGCTAAATTATTATAAAGTTTCTGTCTTCTTAAATCGCCCACTGACACTTATGAATCGGTGCGAATGTTGGGGTAATATCCAATGCAATTAGGAGGTATTATTGTTTATTATTATTATGTAACATCTCAGCGCACAGACACGTGTCGACGAGGGTCCATTTTTTCAGCATCGGTTCGCTCTCATTTTGAACCAGTATGCTAGTCGCATATTGTGGGCGGTAGGCGGTAGTTACTTGTTGCGTTAGTTACCGATTTTAGCTATGATTACTGAATGTTCATGTAAATAAGTAAACTTAATGACAGTTTGATTTCCTTGTTGGCAGTGTGACTGTCGTCTGGTCGGTAGGTTGTAACGCTCTTAGACCTGGACTTGCCTGATGTTCTCGTACTGTTATTATTTATTTGAATTGCTTATACATATTTTGTAACTTGCTACAAAACAAGATCTTTTAACAATTCACTTCAAAAAGATAAATGTAATTAGAAAAGAAAGTTCTCTGTATGCTAACCTTCTAAAATTAAAAGGCTAAATAAAGAATTCATAATATGCTAAGATATGATTATGATAGGATAAAATAAGACGAGCATTAGATTCAAGAGAACTTTCTTAGTCGTTCAGTTCCAAACGATGTACAACTGTTTTGCAACATTGCTTTTAAAAAATAAGCATTAATTGCAAGGATTTACTGTAATCAAGTGTTCAAAACCTAAGCACTATTGTTTTGTCAGCTAAAGAAGGGCAAAATAATAAAGCGGAGACTGTTCTTCCAGGTCAAATGAACAACGTGTTCTTTCAATTTGTGATCAGTCAGTAACAACACTTAACATACGAATGAACTGCAAACCAGTTCGACAGATTTTTAAAACCTGTGAGTTGGTTTTTGTTCCCTTTGTAGTGGCAAAATTCGTCGAGGAGAAATTGTGACAAACGTGCTCTGTCCCAAGGAACATGCCAGTTTGATAGTCCGCTTACTGGATTAACGAAAACGCTTACTGCGAGATGCCAACTTTGCTCGGAGCGTACCGTTTTCCAATTTAAGTTGGACATTTTCGCGAAGGACCATGTCGTAAACTTTCATTTTTTCGCATAGTTGAGCGAAATCCTGAAGTCACTAACCATAGGCATTAACAACCAAAGCATCGAAAGTTCAATTACCATCTTTCCGTTTGCATCAATAGTTGCCTTAATGTTATTCAGAGTATTAATCTGGTACTTCATGTCTTCGATTTCTGTCCGCAAGTTGCAGTTCTCACACCTGAAACAGCTTATTTACAACACCTTTCGGAATCGAGCAAAAAATTATCATTAAAAAATAAAGAAAAAGAAAGTCTATTTTCATTTGCAGTTTTATGAACGGCAACATTTGTAGAGTCCTTCTGTCATTAAGGTTGAGGTGGCAGGCATATTTCCAATGTTATACGATTAGTGAGAATTTTTCCGTTGCTTTTCAAGATTATATCTGCAGAGAGATGAT